TTCCACCACTTTAGTCAGTAGCTGGTTGCTCTAGCTCTAATCGAATGTACTTTTGCTTTTTACGAAGACGGTGAGAGTCAACAGTCTCAGCTCTACGCGTCGCGAGGACCGGGTGTGAGAACAGGCACGGAGTGTACATGGAGGGAACGACGCTAGTTGTTTGGATGGTTTATGGATGTGCTGTTTTTACTGTCGCCGTGGGAGTTGGCGCATCCTAGCTGGCTTGAACGGAATCTATGAAAGAATCGACAGAGCTGCGTGACGATGATGGCCATCCAACATTTGGCCTTACTCGACAATGGATGAGGCACCGAACCTTCGAACGTTTAGCCTAGAGGCGCTCGACGTCTCCCTGCATCCGAACCACTTTGAACTGCACGTTGAGGGTTGTCTGCTTCGTCCCACCGTGCGTTACTCTTGGTGACACCGAGAACACCCGACCCTTACGTTCACTGCTCTCTGGAGTTCCTTATTCATTTGCGCGATCGGTCTTGCCGTGCGCCCGTCCCAGCTGCAGGGCACCTGCATCACCAAGTTAAAAGCTCTCGCGCCCCTGGTGTTGCTGGCGAGGTTTGCGTTGGGTCATGTTGCGGTCATGCCGTTGTGTCGCTGTCGGCCTATGCCAGAGTTCAGCAAGTCAAGTTGATCAGCCCTGTGGTGTTCGGATATTCGTGCTACAGTGGACAACGAGGACTCGGAGCAACAACCTCTCTTGCCTTGGCTAGGGTTGTTAGTCAATGAATCGAGCACCCCACGGTGACAGCAGTGTACTCGTGCGGCGCGAACGAGTCGGTTTCGGCGGCCTGGGAAACACTGGCCTCTTCCATGTCAGACAGCGCGCATCGCACTTATGGGCTCCACGTACCGGTTGGCTATGGAATTCTACCGCGCTTGTCAACGCGTGCCACGTAGATGCACTTGTATATGTCCTCTTCCCTTTGATATCTGCGATGGCACATGGCCACTGCGCTACAGCACTCCTTCTGATGACGACTGGAACCACAACTCCGTGCGTCGAGCGCCATTTTCCGAATGTCCGGTGGCGGGCGCGAGCGCGGACATGGCCGAATGCGAAGACATCATGCAGCCGTCACGATATGTATCCATTTGGGAGGACAATTCGTTGGCAAGATGCGTCCACAGCGCTGTGCTGGCGATGGCACGTTTTGAATAACCGAGCGCGTCGATCGCTCACGGAGCTGTTCCGACCGCAAAATCCAAACTCCATGCAGCTGGGGAGGGTTCAAATCGATTGTTCAAGCCATCGTCAAGCAACTCGTTTTCAAAGTGACCAAGCAGGAGCAGCGGGGACATTTCGTCGGTGACTTTGTTCGAAGACATCGGTGACACCATGGCAGGGTGGGGCCATCCCAAACAAAGCTCGTGTCACGAACGACCCAACTCGTCGTGGGGTCGTGCGCTCTGCCAATCGATCCGCGGTTGCGACCGTCCAAACAGACCAGAAGTGCAGTTGTAGGGACGAGATGCGTGTGCGGTGGGCCGCCCGAGGTGGATCCGTCCGAGTTTGCCTGTCGGACGAAATGTCCTCGCGGGGTTTGCCCACCAAAACTCTCGCGAGGTGAATCGGCTACCAGCAAAACAAAAGCGAGCGGCATTTGGCGACAAAACCAAGCGAAAAACCCGCGGCTGCGTTGGTCGACAAAAACAAGGTTGATTCGAGGCAGGGCATACGATGAGCGTGCTCTATTTCGGTGGCCAGTCCCACCAACACAGTGCACAGGACGGAATAAACATGGCGACGTCGCCCGTGACAACGGCGTCGTTGGCCCAATCCGTCGCACGCAATCAAGGGCATGCCTCGCTTTTTCTCGTGCGCGACATCGATATCGTCGCGCGCGTTCTCAAACGGACAGGGCCGGGGTCGTCTTGTTTCGACTGGATTCTCCATGAACACGATGCAGCGCAACGTCCATTGCCAGAACCACACCATCCTGTCCCGACAGCAGGTTATCGAGCAACCATGTCGAACGAATACCATTGCTTCCGACACCATGACAGTCCCATCTTGTCCAGTAGTGGGTAGGTTTGGCAATTTGCCATGAGATGGTGCCAACGTGCGCACATTCGATTGGGGGGCAGCGTTCCGAAGAGGAAGGGCGGTCAAAGGCCAGGATCTGATGTAGTCGTCCACACCCGCGACTGCTCTTGCCACGTACGGCGTGGCCACTGTAAAGGTACCAGTTGGATCTGGGGCGGACGGCCGATGTGGCGGAGGGATCTTGCAAACCTTTACACGTTGTGCGTGTGCTGTTCTGGGCGAAGGTGAGCCGTTGTCGCCGCCGCCCAGGCGGAACGCAACAGGCCACTCGGCGAATCTGGATATCGAGACGTCTGATTTATGCGTCATGCACTTGGGTGGCGGGGGCGGCGACTCGATTGCCAGGCGGTCGAGCGACCTTCATTAACTCAGACCACCACGTCATCCTTTCGCGAGGGGCAGCAGGTGGGCCATTCAACATGAATGGACACCCCGGCATCATCGGGGACTCCACGGGCGGGCACCCAGCCCCCGCCCCCATTCGCTAGCCATCCCGCTACAAGACTGTTCCTGCTTCGACCGAGGCATCCCGTGGGACGACTCGACCCAATCGTCTGTACACTCGTGTGTTCCGATTCACGTCGAAGAGCCAGCCGAGTGAAACCCAGAAGTTGTCCAAACCCGTGGCCACCATTTATGGGGTGTATCAATCGTTCAACGTATGGATAGGGGCGACGATGGCGGCGGATGGTCCTCCGCGCGCGGCACGAGAGGGAACTCCCGTGACCGCATCGCGCACCACCGTGACCATCGTGTCGAGACGAAACCAAGCCAACCACGTGCGGCGCACCGACGTGCCTGACCAAACACGACCATGACGACGGCGTTCCAAACCACCCAACAACATGAAAACGTGGCAGCGAACGACCGTGGACAGTGGCATGCAGTCGCCCGGGATGGAACGTCATAACGTGGGGTTGGGATGGCAGAGAGGGCGGAGAGGACGAGTGCTTCATTTACCTTTTAAGTCGGCGCTGGCTCTTCCGCGTCGGGATGGAGTTGGACTGCCCATCTCCCGGTGCACGATCGAATCAGGTGTAAACCCGCAACAGTCGTCATGTGGCAGGTTGTTCAAGACGAGTGGCGGTCCAGACGACGACTACTTTTGAATTCACCACGACGATGGCACAACGATTGTTGGCGCTGCTGGCGTTGCCTGTGGTCGCCGTGTTGGCGCATGGCGACCACATGCCCGAGGAAGAGGTCGCCGAGGCGGCCACAACGTGTGGCGCGATCAACGACTCGTCCGAGTACGACCAATCGATCCACATCGCCGCCATCTTTGTCGTGTTTGGTGTGTCGATCGTCGGCAGCATGGTGCCTGTCCTGAGCTCGTACTTGTCATGCCTGAAAAGCAGCCGCACGGTGCTGTCGCTGCTCAACTCGTTCGGGTTTGGCGTTGTTATCGCGACCGCTTTCATCCACATGATCCCTCCCGCCGTCGACACATTGAACGATCCGTGCTTGGATGTCGGGTACAGCGGACTCGCCATGGCCCTTGTCGTGGCGACGGTATTCACGATGCAAGCGCTGGAAACGGAGCTCGTCTTGCTCTTGGATTCGCCGCCGTCGAATGGCCAAGTCGATCGCGAGAGTGGTTTGGCTGTGCTCAAGTCGCGCCAGAGCCGCGGGTCGACTCCGAGTATGCTCGGCGTTCATCTAAACGACAACGACCAGCACAATCATCATCATCATCACCATCATGCCCACTCGTCCGGCGGCTCGAATGGCAACATGCGGAAAAAGATCAACGTGCTCATCTTTGAAATCGGCGTCGCGATTCACTCGGTCATTATCGGACTCAACTTGGGCGTTGCGACCGGCCCGTCGTTCTCGACGCTCTTGGTGGCGATTTCGTTCCACCAGTTTTTTGAAGGCGTCGCGGTCGGGTCGTCCGCCGTGACGGCGTTTTCGAACATCCGCACGTCGATCATGACCGCGATCGGGTTTTCGTTCACGACGCCCCTTGGTATTGCCCTCGGCGTTGCCATCAACAGCACGTACAGCGAAACGTCGACGACGTCGTTGTGGACCCGCGGCGTGCTCGACGCGATCGCGGGCGGCATCTTGGTGTACACAGGGATCGTCGAACTACTCACGTACCAGTACACGATCAACAGCGAGTTCCATAGCAAGTCGGGGGGGTTGCGATCGCTCCACTACTTGTTCCTGTGGCTCGGGGCCGCTGCCATGGCCATCGTCGGCTACTGGGCGTGAGTGTGTAAATTGAATGTACATTGGGTGTATCGGATTGAATTGGTCTGCTGCTGCCGTCCATCGTGGCGATGCTTGGAACGCCGGAGCCTACTTCGAGACGACTCGGACGTCGACGGTGCTCCTGGCTTTGGGAGAAAGCCAACGACTACACTATCGATCGCGACGTTGAGCGGTAGCTGCAAGTTCGTGGCGTGCTTCCACGGGGGGAGGTTCTTTCGGCGGTGTCGCGCATGTCCCCACCCATACATGATAACGACGGCATTGCATTTTTGTCCAATCACATTCCATGAATCACGACAATGGGAGATCCAGAATTGCCATCCCTTCATGCATTCCATCCCAGTGGAATGTGGTGCCGCGGTGGTGCCGTGTGGTTCCTCTTGTGCTGCGTCCTGCAGTCGCAAGGTCGAGGCAAGTCGGTCGAAGAGCAGCTCGGAGACAATATTGACGCACTAAGACTCGTTCGCGTCCTGCCAGCAACACAGTCGAGACAGAAGATCCTGTGTTGGGTCAACACGTTCGACCAGAATCACGACCGCGCCAAGTCGATCAAGGCGACGTGGGGCAAACGATGTGACAAGCTCGTGTTTATGAGCAACGTGGAAGACCTGACGATTCCCACCGTGCGCATCGTGGCTCCCGCGACGCATTTGCATCTGTGGCAGAAACATCGGTGCGTCCGTCGTCCATGGTTCCCCATCGCATCGTCGTTCTGGTAGAGCTGTCGTGCGCCTCTTGTGGCGGGAATACGGCGACACGTACGATTGGATCTTCAAATGCGACGACGATACCTACGCGATCGTGGAAAACCTCCGCGCGTACTTGGCGTCGTTTGCGTCGAATTCGACGCAGCCGTTGCTCCTTGTACACGAGCAATTTCTCGCTCTGTTCCCAACCGTGACGCGCGTTCGTCTGTGCGTAGGGACACCGCATGACGCTGCAGTGGTGGGAAATGCAGCGGGCGTTTGAATGGGTTTACGGTCCCGACTTGCCAGCCGCCATGAAGCGCCTGCATTACGTGGCGTTCTCCGTGACCAAAACGGCCACGATGTCGCACGGGGGCCTGTATTATACCCCTGGTGGCGGTGGCTACGCTTTCAATGCGGCGTATTTGAAGGTACGTGTGTCTGCCATTTGGCCCATGACCTTGTCCGCGACCTTCCTGACGAACGCATCGCAGTTGCTCGTGGAGAACTTGGACGAGCCGTTCTGTTTGCCCGATGAAATCGTGCCCGACGACTGGGCCATCTCGTTTTGCATGCGCTTCTTAAACGTGTACCCCATCGACACGAGGTTCGTTGCCCTGGCCGCGCGTTCGTGTGGTCGGCGCGACCGATGCCACTCGACGGCGCAGGAACTGACCATTGTCGTACAGAGATGCAAATCAGCGCGAGCGCTTCCACCAGTACTCCCCTGCTCGCATCTTCCACGAGATCCACGACCCTGACGCGTACGATCACGACCTGTTCCCGTCCATCGAGTTCGAGAACAACTGGTTCAGCGATCACGGCGGCGGGATCGGATGGAAAAATGGGACCGAGTGCGCCGCCCCCGACACGATCTCTTTTCACTACATCAAACCACCTTTCATGGAGCTCGTCGACGAGTATTATTACCGCACGTCGTATGAAGAGTCGACGCGCCTTCGTCGGGAGCCATAGCGAGTCCTGCCCACGGGAGGACGGGGCTGTCCGACCTCTTACAGCAAGCACGTGGTCTCGAACGCCAGCGAGATCCTGACCGCGCGATTCAAAAGTTGACGACACACCGTCCAGGATGCCACGTACACTCGCCGCGGGGACCCCGCCTCCATGAGTCATGCGCACTCGACGTAATGTTCTCTAATGAAGCTATGGTGTCATGCCTCTTGTCGGATTCGCTGCTGCGTGCGTTTTGCGTCGCATACGAGAAGGTGCTGCTCCACCACCAACTGCAGCTTGTCGGTTGCTCCGAGGATTTCACAATTCGGTCCTCCGCGACGTCATCGGCAAGTTCGCAACCGACCCAAGCGGCTGAACATGCCGTCGATGGCACAACGCAGCGTGTTGTCAAAATTGTTGCGACAAACGAGGACACGATGCATGGGCAGTCAGCATCTTGCAACGACGTACTTACCCCGAATGCGTCCGTGCGAAGTCCACCCCCAGGGGCTGTGTACCAGACGAGCCCCCATCCCCCATGGATTGCTTGATGCCCTTTTGAGTTTGACGTCGAGGCATGTATCGCGATGTGAGCTTCCCCCCCGGCTTGGCCCCCGCCCACGTTCTTGATTGGCACATCCTTGCTTCGATCACGGATCGACAAGTGAATTGGGATCGATGATACCAGCGCGCGCGCCCCCCCCTCAACCACATGACTTTGCGACCGTTCTTCTTGTGTTGGCAGCATCTGGATCCAACCTGTACTGTAGCTTGCTACCGTTTCGGCGATTCCCTCTGGCACAACCTGCGGGCGCATTCATGGCGCTCCTCCTGACGACGTTCAAGCATACGCTGTGCCGATTGACCCCGCCGGCCGTCCGCGGCGACACAATTGCCCCATTCAATCCCCCCATCGTCGGCATCGACCTCTTGGACTTTGTTGTCCCTTGGTTTTTCAATTTGCACCAAAAAAACCACGATCCGTACGAAAAACACATTTTGTTTAAACACGTCGAGTACACACCACAGGGCCTGAGCCACGCCGACCTGGTGTGCCTACGACGTCGGACCCATGTTCTGCGGCCAAAGTGTGTGCCCCGCTGTCACTTCATTCCAGCGCGGCGCGGGTCGAGCGGTGGGTGACCACGTCAAGGTCTCGTTGGATACGTTGGAACGAGGAATGTTGCCATCTACGACATCGCATGGAACGCACGATGCACCACCACCAGCCCATTCGTGCTCGTTTCAACCTACCAACTGTATCGCCATCGCGCTGAGTAGTAGACGCTTATTTCGACGGCGCTCGATCGTCGTCGTCGCACCCATGGATCATCCATTTCTACACGTCCCATCTCGTCCCTCTGCCCGGCTACACCGTAGCATGCCACAACATGCCAGCGGGGATGTCCAGGATTGGATCGCCGACGTCCACGAAAACCACCGTGCCGAACGAACCGCGCGGGCCGAAAATCCTGTTTAAACGTGACGTGCGATCCACGTTAAATTCGTTTTGTGCACCTTTTCGTCGCCACCATTGATACAAGTTCAACTTTTTTTCTGGATCTTGGCCGTGGTGAATCCCAGCAGGACGAATTTAGACTTGGGTTTTGTATGCTGGCCTCGCCAAACCAATCAAGCTTGGAATTTGTATGGTCAAATCCTCGCGGCGACCTGCCACGATGGCCACCCACGACATCACTTTCGATTCCACCAGTGCATGCCTCGGGGTTCTCACCGCGGCATCCACGGGCAAAGCGGCAGAACTACGTTGTCAGCGAACTACCTCGTCGATTCCTCGCGCATTTACACAGGCTTCTTCTACGTCCGAGCTTGTGACACCCCAGCCTAGCATCGACTACGCCACCTCTTCAGCTGACCATGCCCACCACCGACGACATGAAAACCACCGCCGCCAGCGCCACGGCGTCTACCGATTCGTGCAGCAATTGCTCGGACACGCCCGCGACCGTCGACTACCCCAACACGTTTGAAGGACCGGAAAAGAACCTTGAAATCGATTTCACCCCCGCCGGTCATCCCGACGGTCTCCGCGCGCTCTCACGCACCCAGCTGGACGCGTTGTGCGATGTTGCCAAGTGCACGATTCTGTCCAAGATCTCGAACGCGTCGCTGGACGCGTACGTCCTGTCAGAATCGTCCCTATTTGTCTACCCGCGCAAGTTGCTCATGAAGACGTGCGGCACGACCACGTTGCTCAAGACGCTGCCCCTCATCATGGAGTACCTCCAAGAACTCAACATGGCCATTGAAAAAGTGCGGTATTCCCGCAAAAACTTTCTCCAGCCCGAAGAACAGCACTTCCCGCACACGTCGTTCAGCGTCGAAGTCGAATACCTCAACGATTTCTTTCCGAACGGCGTGGCGCATGTCCTCGGCCCGATCACGGGTGACCACTGGTACTCGTACAACTGGGACGCCGACACGCACGGCCCCAACTCGTCCGTGTCGACCAACGTGTGCGACGAACGAAAGAGCGAGCACACGGTGCATATGCTCATGCAAGACATGCACGCCGACGCGGCCGCGCACTTTTTCAAGCGCGACAACGGCATGGACGGCGCCAAGATGAGCGAGGCCAGCGGCATCCGCGACCTCGTGCCGAATGCCATCCTCGACTCGTTTGCGTTTGAGCCGTGTGGGTACTCGATGAACTCGATTGAGGACGACGTGTACTCGACGATTCACATCACGCCCGAGAGCCACTGCAGCTACGCGAGCTTTGAAACGAACGACAAGGTCGGCACGTACGCCCCCATGGTCGAGCGCGTCCTGGCGGTGTTTCGTCCGAGGAAGATGACCCTCACCATGTCGGTCCTCGGCGAGCTCACGATGAAAGACCACGTGTTCCAGAAGTGCCAGTTCAAGGGGTACAAGCGCCGCGGAGGATGGACTCAAGTGCACATGGACGGCGACCTCATCTCGCTCAAGGCCAATTTTGTCATTGTCGAATAACACACCGAGGTGGCGATTTCACGCTCGATTTGGTATCGTTGGATAGCAAGCGTGGATGCAATTGCCATGCTGTATTCCAAGAGTAACATTGCATTTTGTACCTGTTGTGTGCGTGGGGAATGTGCGTTCCTTCATGCGTTTGTGTGGCGAAGCACGTGGCATGCGCTACGCGCTCCCGTGAGCTCGAGGAAACTGAGCTTGTCATGGGCCAATTCGCCATGGGCTAGAGTGCCCCATACCGTGGGGAGTTCGCCACCATCTCAGCTCGAACACGGCATGATCGTCAGCTCAAACTTGTGGACAGCTTGAGCCACAAGGCAATTACAAAATTGATGGGACGCTTCGCCACGACAGACGTTGCGACGAACCACGTTTTGAAGGATGTTGGGATGAGCATTTGAAAGTGCCACCTGCCTGGAATGTCATGGAACTGTGTGTACAGACGAGTGAAAGCACGAGCTGCGGCACGCTCTCCGTCATTCGATCCGTCGAATCCACACGTTTTGCAGGTCGCCTGTCGGTGTTGGCAACGGGAGCTGGAACGAAGGGGGTGTCTGGTACGTCGTGAATGGCTGCCTGTCGTCGACATGCAGTCCCTCTTGGGCGGCACATGAATTATTCCTTGATGTAAACGGCATACACAGGAAGTATATGCAGTGTGACCTGCATCCAGCTGGCGCACAAGCTGGAGCGCCACGAGCACAATGACATGGCGCCGCTTCTGTTCGGAACGGCATCGCAAAGGCACCGTAGCAGCCAGCGAGCACACCAAGCACGTCCACCACGACGTGATATGGCAGCATCGTGCCGCTCGACATGCCTCGTCCAGGATTCAGTCCTCACTTGTGAACACCAACGTAGCACACCAATGCAGGCCACACCGACATGTGGACGTTGGCTACGATGGCATCGAGTCGCATACAATTTTGATCGCTGTCTTGGCCTGGTCTGATCAGTGTGACGACGCAACCTGGGCTGCGCATTCAGTGCATTTCCTTGGCCACCAAGAACCAGCTGATCCTCTGAGGGCCGGAGGGAGTTACTTTGTGAGCGAGAACAATTCTTGGATGCGCCGACGAGTGTTTAAAACTGGAAGGGGAGGGGCGTGGATTTCACGCCAACTTGCCCTCGCTTCGACTCCATCTAGTTGAGGCACGAAGGGAAGCTCAGCCCGAGGTACGCATAACATTTCTTTGCTGGTTTAAGTAGAGTTTTCGGAACACCGGTGGGGGAGCTTGGATGATTTTGGTGGTGTGTCCGTTCGAATTGGGCACACAAAACGAAAGCTCTGCTCACGGCAGTCGTCTGGTGTCAAAGAGGCACATGGGACCATCGAATGCGCACACGACTGGCAAATTCCGAGCAGGACATGGAGACCGCCCGATGGCATCAGGCAAAATTCAAGTCTATTCTGTCGACTCTGGTGTAAGATCACGTCAGCCAATGAAAATAACTGAAAGAATCATCTCCAGCCAATCAAACGTGACCTGATATTCCCTCAAAGGGTATTTCTCAAGATCGTTGGAGAAATAACAGTGGGAATATTTCTCACAATTCATCCAAGTTGATGTTCGTGAGGTATTTTTATTCCAAATCGTCCACCGCGGCATGATTGTCTAAACGTTTCGTTGAGCCGGAGGACACGGCGATTGAAAGTCGCTGGTTTATACCGCTCGGCGGCTGTCGCGCTCGGTTGTGGCGTCGTCGACGGCGGGTGCGGTCGGTGGTTGCTGGGGGGCCGCTGAAATTCTGGAATGGAGAGGACTAATACCCAAGTGGGGCTTACCTCCAAGGATTTAAAGGACATGAGACTTTTAGCCAATCATGCCGCGGTGGACGATTTGGAATAAAAATACTTCAGCTGTAGTACCTCACGATCGTTCAATTGGGACGATCGTGAGAAATATGTCCACTCGTTGGACGATCTTGAGAACTACAACGACCTCCGGAAAAAGCCGACATGGTTTCATCCTGAAAGTGCATGGAGGAAGTATAAAGTCCATATAGTTGAATTACGTGAATTAGTCCAACTTGATTGGCTATAACTAGAAGAATTTTAGTCAGTCAATCACAGTTCTTATGGTACCTGCACTGCAATTGGTCAAAAGAAATGGCAATTCTGACTTGGTATTGAAGTATACAGGTGGCAGAATTTTTGAAAACAGATCATGTTTTGGAGGTGGTCGGCTTTTTTTGGGGGGTGACGGCTTTTTCCGGGGTTCACTTTACCTTCATACACCAACCAAATTCGACATAAATTGAGTCAAACGAGTGTAGTTCCGAGTGCGTTGTTCGGCCGTCTCGCTCTCGGGGCGGCAGTGTTTGGTGTGTCACGCATGGATGGACACAAAAGCCACTGAAAGGTGGTCCGACGCAGCATCCACCGCGACACAAGGGTATTTGCGACTCTTGTGTTGAGGGAATCGATGTTGAGCTGTCGTCGTTGCTGCTGGTGCCTTGTTCGCTACCACGGGTTTGGGCGATCTCCCCGTACATTCAAAGCAATCCGACTCCCCCCTGCTCCATACGACAACCCCCGCATCAAGATTCGAGACCTTTGCGTCGACTGCAATAATTGGGGGGGGGGCGTCCCCTTCGACACTGCTACAGGAGTCGGTCCGACCAGTCTTGCCCAGAGCTGCACATCAAGGCTAGTTCAAATCAACCCTGGCATCGGACGGCGTCGCAACACTGGAACAGTCGTTTTGTGACATCGGGGCTTGATGCTTGCGCACGCATCTTCGTGCTTTTCCAAACAGGTCAGCAGTACACAACTAGAGACAGACATCAATTGTATTGAAACAAGTGCGCATGGCGCCACTTTACAAAAGACGATGGCGAAACTAAGATGTGGTCGACATCCTTACGCCCATTTGCCGACAATGGCCATGGCGGCCGCACCGAGCCACAAGCACATGTAGTTGAGCGATCGCGTACCCCCCGACTTGCTGTGAAACTCGCTGTTGATCGTGTACTGGTACGTGAGCAGCTCGACGATCCCCGTGTAGACCAAGATGCCGCCCGCCACCGAGTCCAGCACGCCGCGGACCCACAGCGACGCCGTCGACGTTTCGCTGTACGAGCTGTGGATGGCGATCCCAACGGCAATGCCCAACGGCGTCGTCAGCGAATACGCGATCGCAGTCAACAAGGACGTGCGGAAGTTGGAGAACGCCGACACGG